AAAATATATAATTTTTTTCTGAGCCATTAGAAGTTATATATACTCTATCACTTTAGCCCTATATACTTCAGTGTGTATTTCTTTTCTAATTTTTGATTTTTAATTATTATAGATTCAGTGTGTATTTTTAAAAAACAAATTCGTTCTCCTAAATAACCACAGTACAGTTATCAACTTCAGAATATATAATTTTTTTGTGAGCCAATAGAAGTTATATATACTCTATCACTTTACCCCTATATACTTCAGTGTGTATTTCTTTTCTAATTTTTGATTTTTAATTATTAAAGATTCAGTGTGTATTTTTAAAAAACAAATTCGTTCTCCTAAATAACCACAGTACAGTTATCAACTTCAGAATATCTAACATTAGTACTTTAATCTACTGTCTGTATACGAATTTTGTCAATTCTTTTTAAGCATTTTTTTCCTTCTGTACAGAAGCCAGTGTGGGATCAAATATTGCATGTAGTTGAGAAATATAACTCAATTTCCAAATCTATCACAAGAGTTCCATGGAAATTCTTTTGTACCTGCATTTATCTAGTCCATTTTTGTCAGTAAATTAGTATCTGATATTTGACCTTCCCTTCCTACAGATAGAAAGCTAATTCTGTGTCCATGTTAAATTGATGTGTTTGATACTAAAATCATCTTTTATTTTGTAGGTCACTTAGAAACTTGGAATTGTACCATGGAACTTCATAATAGAGTCTCTGGGAGCAGACGAGAAACGTCATCTTAAAACTGCAGCTCTTGCCAGCACGTTTTTCTTTACAATTAGCTTTTGATGCAAACTGCACTGAAGTGTTATTTTTGATGTTGAGATTTCTTCTCTTAGAAGCATATTGCACAGCTACATTTTGGTTAGAAAAAAAAAAGATCCTATACTACTTCATTGTGACTGGAAGACTGTTGGAGAATTCAGAGAGCATACAGTATTTCTGTGTCAAAACAGGTTGGCTTTGTAGCACATTTTACAAATGTGTAGCACTGAATATTGCACAGGGATGAAGTAGGAGGCAGTTTTCCAAAGAGTTAATCTGAAATAAAATGAATCTGTCATTGATTACCTTTACTATGTTCTCATATGAAAAAAATTTTAAATCATTTCAATAAAGCATTAAAAGAAAAATGGGTGTAGGCTTTCTTTCAGTAGAATATAATGAACACTAGGAAAAGAAAATGTTCTAGTCTTTCGGTACCTTTCCAAAATGCTGATTAGGCACATGACTTAGCCTGTCAACGTATGTAATAACAATTTGATCAAATGAATGTCAGTACAGATTATACTTTCCTTAAGGTTTTGGTGTGCCATCTGTTTGTAGAACAGTTTTCATCAGTATGTACAAAAACATGGTAGGATTTGTAGACTTCTGCTGAAATTGGTGGAGTATTCTCATTATGGGGTATGGCTGGCGAGACCGATGCAAACTTTTCCACACTACATTTGATTATGGTTGTAACTAAGATTTACCACTAGGCCTGCAGCAGTAGGAGGGAGGCAGAAGAGGGGATCAGTGACCTGTGGTCCCTGCATATACTGCCAGGTGTCTTGCTTCATAGGACTTTGCCCAGTTTTCTTCTGTCTAGCTCTGCTAGTTATAAGAGAATATTTTTTCTTTGTGGCTATTACTGTCTCTCCTTTTACCTTCTGCACATTTGATTTACTTGCTGCGTGAGGATTTTCACAGCTGACATTGTGAACATATTGCTAGCTGTGATCAGACCCTTTTAGAGTCCCTTCACAGATCTAAAGCACTTGATTTCATCTTCCTACGTACATGTGGGATGACAAAAGACAGTCTGAGGTTTGGAGACATCCTCTGCCCCTGAACATCTGAGGAGTCCTTCTAAATCAGTAGGTCGGCAGCAATGGAGAAAGCTCTTCAGGCAGTCACCTGGGTTCAATGCAACAGTGACACTATTGGAAGAGAAAACACAGGCAAAGCATGATGCTAACTTTAAAAACAAAAAGCAATGTTAGAAGACCGGTAGCGGGGGTAGGGAAGCGGAAGGATCCTGTGTATTTCCCTGCTCTTTGATCCTGTCATAGACTCTCAGGAGCTCTCTTTATTTTTAGCTCAAGAAGTCTTTAATCTCAAGACAAAATATACCTATTTTCCAAATTTACTGCTTTTCACCAGCAACTCAAAGTTCTATATTTAAGAATTGCTTTTATTCTTTTCATCTCATGAAATTGTAATGTGTATATCTATAATAGAAAATTAAGGAACGAGAAAGCATCAAAAAGAAGAGATAAAAATGTAAAACTAAGATCTATAATCTTGCCATTCATTGATAACCATGACTGACATATTGGTGCATACACAGTTCTAATCTTTTTTTTTTCTACATAAACATATGCAAACTATTTTTTATCAAAACCATATAACGCTGATGAAGTAATTTAATTTAAGAAATGTAATTGTCTTTTAATCAGAGGATTTTTTATTTGGGACTTTTTTGTTACTCCTTCACACTTCAAGTCCTTCTGGAACCCATATCCTTCTCGTGAGTTACCTTAGATGGAACCGCCAACTTCCATCTCAGCAGTTTCCATGGGCAAACATTGCAGAATGCTGGGCATGTAATGTATTTCCAGCGAGCTGCATAGGATGAGAAGTACGCCCTTTGTCTCCAAGGTCATAATGGCTCTGCTGACTTTAATACCTTTCACTGGAGCTAGTGAGGACAACTCGAAAATGCCAGAGAGAGAGCCCCCTGCCCCATGATCCCAGATGAAAAAAAAAGAACATAGAAATCCCCTTTCGCACTACCCCCAGGTCCCTTTTGTGTTGTTCTTGCCAACACAGCAGCCATCCTGCTATATATACCAGCTGCCGCTTTGTCCCCATCGTACTAGAACGCTGATCATCCGCTGTCAACAGCCATGGGGAAGGTGAGCCCATTGAGGGGCCGAACCATGTCTATCAGGTGTCTGTGGTGCGTGGGGATGTACCATCCAGCTGACTGTCTACTGTCACCTTGTTTTCCACTGCAGATCACCTTCTACGAGGAACGGGGCTTCCAGGGCCGCTGCTACGAATGCATCAGCGACTGCCCCAACCTACAGGCCTACTTCAGCCGCTGCAACTCCATCCGGGTGGACAGTGGCTCCTGGATGCTCTATGAGCGCTCCAACTACCAGGGCCACCAGTACCTCTTGCGGCGCGGCAACTACCCCGACTACCAGCAGTGGATGGGCCTCAGCGACTCCATCCGCTCCTGCCACAGAATTCCTTATGTGAGTCTTCTTCAAGCCGACTGATGTGAAAGCATCAGTGATCCGTGGCCATCAAATCCTGTTTTTAAAAGTCAGTTTGTTCCAACTCGGATCTAGTGTTTGCAGTAAAGACAGCAAGGCCTGACTCTCTGGCATTAAAAACAATGCGACAGTAATCTCTTACTTAAGGACAACAACATTGTTTTAGGGCACAAGAAATCACAACAACATAGTCTTTAAACTTGGAAACAT